TTGATATAGGTGGTGTGGGGTGGGGGGGGGGGGGGAGGGGATTAGAGAATGTATGTGCTAGCCAAAATTCAAAGCAACGATCTCATTTAAACCAAATCAATGCGACTCTTGCGCGCTTTCTTTCTTTCTTTCTCTCATGTGCACACTTTCACACACTCTCATGCTCTGTCCCACTCACAGGTGCTTTTTCTCATGCACTTTCGTGTGCTCACACTCTCTTTCTCTGTTATATATGAGGGTATTTTACCCTATAATTATCTATTTATAAGATGTAAGGGGTGTTTCCTTAGTTGAGTATTTCACACATCCTTCTATGCAGGTCACTCTGCCCTAGAGTAAGACCATTTTCTGTCACTGGAAAAAGAATAACAGCTTTATGTTGGTTGGCTGACTAACACCCCATCCAATATTTAAGCTGCGGATTCATCTGACCTTACTGGCTACTGACAGGAGAAGCCAAAAGTGAGATGAAGTGAAGGACTAAGCCAGGAGAAATTCTTCTGTTAACAGTAAAAATGTGGATATAATATTCTCGCTCTATTAACAGATTTTTTTAACATTTAATTTCTCTTTGTGAAACTGATCTTACAACATAGAGGAATCAAAGGGAGAGAGTGACAAAGGACAGGCAGTAGCATCCATGTTTGATGCTACTGCAAAACTAAGATGTTTTTGGTTTTTTTTTTAAATTTATTTTAGTAATGTAAGCAGGCAGAATTGGGTATTCTGCTTTACAGACTCAGAACTATATAGTGCAATGTTATTTTGATCCATCTGCCCTGTTACACAGGTGGCCAAGCGTGAGAGAATCAAGAATCTACCATGAAATCTTTTTATTAAAGTATTTTCATCCCAAGTGCAGAGATCTGTAGTACGCTGTATCACTCTGAGTAAGGTGGTTTGTGTAGGTGCATGAAGATGCACTCTGCTTGAAGTCGGCAAAGAGTAGTGGAGGGGGAGGAACAGGGATACATATTCCTGTCTTTCTGCAACGTTTCTCTGTTGATATTTTAGATATATTTGTGTATTAGGAGATTCTGGAATTCTGCATAGGTGTATCCACAAAGAAGCTTTCTTTTACCTTAGTTTAATAAGCCAGCTTTGTAGCAGTGTTGCTGCTAATCTTACAATGAGAGTCTGCCTTCACAAGATTTCAGGTCTGCCTTTGCAAACCTAGAGACCTGCGAAAGCAACCAGAAAAAAAATGGAGACTTACACAGACCAAACCTCCAAATATTTGAGTTTTTCACAAATAGAAATGGAAGATCAGTAAGGTGAGAGTTCAGAGCATGATTCTCTACTGCTCACTGTGTTCTGAGTCACAGCAGCATGTGAAGTGCTTATTCTTTCCAGCAGTAAAAGTAGGTGAAAGACTTAAGTGAAATAGGAAGGAATGCTTTGTGGGCAGGTGTTATGTTGCAGCACAGTCTCAGCCTGAAAGTATTGGGGTGGAAAAATTAAATGAGATTAAACACTTCATAATACTGCTTCCAATGGAGCTCCCCATGTAGGAGCAGGGTTTGCTACGAAGAAGTGTCAGATGAACTGAAGAGCTGTAAACCAGTGTATGCTGTTGGCAGTGCTGAGAATAGTGATTACTGAACACATGAGCTAAGCTCTCTGTAGTAGCTCTCCTGCTACTTAATAAGGACTTATTATGGAGATGTGCAATAGAAACTGCCATCGTTTTAGCAGAGTGAGCCTAAGGTGTCCTGGCTGAGCAACATTAGCTAGTTCATAAGCAGAACTTGATACACAGCCTAATTAATCAATGTAGACAGCTTTGGAGCTGAGATATCCCTTCTTTTTGGATGTGTCTCTAAAGGCCACAAATAGCCTATGTGATTTCTAGAAGTGCTTCCTTCTGTCTAGTTACTAATTAACATCATGCGACATGCAGGATGTGTAATCATACCTTTTTAGATTGCCTTTCAGACTTTGGAAAGAATATAGGCAAACAAATTGATTAAGTTTTGGGGTGTGGTTTTTTGTTTATTTTTGGTTTTCCCTTAGGGAACTTTAGGACAAGTTGGGGAGTAGGGAAGGATAGGTCCTAATAACTTTTTTGTGTGTGTTATTCAAGTATGTAATAAGTTAGGCTCAGCATTAATGCTGAAATGAAGAAAGTCCTGGCTGAACTGTTGGCCGTCAAAGTTGACCTTAGGAAGACCTGGGCAGAAAGAAGGTTGCTGAGGCTTAGTGCATTCTAGCAAGATTTGAGACAAAGCTTTCTTTTTTTTTTTTAAAGAATATAAATAGCATTCAAAATTACCAATAAAGAGGGTTGAAAAACCAAATTTCATATTAGGAATGGTAGCCTCTGTTAGGAGAGGAACAGTGAATAAAACAGAAAACATTGTTATGCCATTGCATACATTCATGGGGCATCCATATCTTGCATATTTTGTGTGGTTTGGGCTTCTTTGTCCCTCCTACCATCACTCCTCTCCTACAGGGAAAAAAAAGATGGGACTAGAAAAGGTGCAGAGAAGGATGACAAGAATAATTCAAGGTCTATGACAGTTTCCATATTGAGGAATGACTACAGACCAAGTCTCTGCATTGTAGAAAAGAAACCACTCGGAGGAAATCTGGGATAGAGGTGTATTAACTCATGAGTTTCATGAACAGGTAGTAGTTGTTCACTGTGTCCCCTAGTTCAAGAACTAGGGATCATTAATGAAGCTATTAGCTGGTGAAGCTATTAGCTGGTGGGCTCAAAAAAAACGAAAGGCAGGTTTTTCTCCGCAGCACTTATAAACTGGGATCTTAGTGCCACAGGTTATTGCGGATGCCAAAGTTTACATGGGTTTAAAAAATGAGGAGACAAATTTATGGAAAATATGGAAGAAAAATCCATCAGGACCTATTAAACACAAGGTTGCCAGGTGTAGGTGAGACTAAATATCTTAGCTGTAAATAGCTGGAAATTAGGAGAAAGTACAGAGAAAGTATTCTTCATTATAAACTTGTCCTATTCTTCCCTTCATTTGTGTCCCAGGGTTTTGACTGAGAGAGATCCTGCACAAGATGAATTTTTGGTCTGATCCAGTTTTCAGTCATTCTCATTTAAAAAAAAAAAAAAAGTTTCTTGCTGTAGGACATAATTGATATTTCCTTTAGGCTAATTAATTCCTATATGTGCTTTTCTGAATCTGCCTCTAGAACATCTGATGATGATTTTTGTTGGAAGTAGTAGTCATGCTGAGTTATACCAGTTGTCCATTTCAGCCAATGTGTTATATTGGAATGCATAGGCACATCGAAATATAAGTTTCTTTTTTAATAGAGAATATTTCTATAGCTGTGGTAACTTTCAGATTGGGGAGGTGATGGGATTACTGAAAGGATACTGTGAGCTTTGCAATCATACAGGTGCTTAGAGGCTATGGTGATAGGCTGATTAGAATTACTTTATTGGCAGAATATAAATTCCTTTTTCTTTACTTAGCATTTGCATCTCTAGATTTCAGTACTGTATTGAGGGTGTATCAGTAATTTTACATAACATCTATGTGACTACAGAAGTTCAGATCCTGACCTCAGGTTTGCTCTCTTTGTACTGCTCTACTGAAATAGAAAATATTCCCAAGTATAGGCACATCCCCAAGGGTATGTATGGGCCCATTTACGTTGTGGTCTTAAAAGTAGTAGCAGTATATTTTACATGTGGCAAGTAACAGTGTGTACAGGGTCATCTTGAATTCCAGCTGCTCTGAACATCCTACGCTCAAGCTAGCCAGTTCAAGGTTGTGCACTGAGATGGCCCGAACAAGTCATACCCTTCCTGCAGACCTGCATCCGTATAGTGTCAGCCCCTACTGGTAGGTAGCATGTTGGAGAGCATTGCCAGCCTGTTGTTTTACATTATCTCCAGGTTGCTTCAAGTTACTGTGGGATAGGCTTAGGATAAACTGCGTGCAAGGGAATAAGCAACCTATTTGTCAAGTCACACAAAAAATTTTCTGGGCTCTTTTTTTTTCAGTATAAAACATTTTACAGGACTGGAGATAAGCAGGTTCTCAGCTAGAGGAGATTCTGCTGCCTCTTCCCCTCCACTTATATGCATCTCCCTAGCCAAGAGGATGGGGTAAGTGATGTCCTGCTGTAGTTCTCCTCCACTCCCTAATTTCTAGCTCTGTGGAACGGAATGTCAAAGCACCTGTAACCGACTGTTTGACTGTTTTGCACACATAGGCACAAAAAAGGCAGAGCAGGTTAGTTGGAAGGGTTTTAGCGTTGGTGACATACTGAGTACAGAAGAAATGTTGGTTGCTTCAAGGCTGTGAAAGGGAACACGTGCAAATGGTAATTCCTGATATGGATATGAAGGCTCTCCTCTTTAAAGAAGCCTTGGGATGCCCTTAGCCACCTTGCTGTCATGTAACAACACATGGCCCTTTATATCCGCTTGATTAGTACTGGAGTTAATTTGCAGTGTTGGAGAAAATTTTGCTTTAGTTTCAGACATGTCCTCCTCCTTTTTGTCACTCTTTCATTTAAATAGCTTCTGTCTCTCTCTCACTAAGGCCATTCCAAATAACCTAGTTCTTCTGGCTTTTGTGATTTTTCATCCCTTTGTAGGAATGGCTGCAATGCAACTTTTGTACTGTCTCTGGAAATTTTCTGATTGACATAATAACTTACATGAAAAATACTGCAATTAGGATTTTCAGAGACAGAAAGGTAATTGATACATTTGAAAGGGAACTGATGTATTTTAGCAACACAATTTGGGGATAACATGCTTGGATAAGATGGTGTTCAACTTGTATTATGTCTGGAAAGAGATTGGGAGAGCTGTGTGTGATTTTTTTTCTTTTTTCTTTCCCCCCCCCCCCCCCCTTTTTTTTTTTTCTCTTAATGGCAAATATTGCCATTGAGCCTTAGGCTGGTCCATGCTGGCTATTCCTCTAGATGATGAAACCTAGAATCCTAGCAAGCAGAGGAGGAGATTTGAGATGAGTGGTATCTAGGACAACCCCAAGTAACTACTACTGAAAATCAGATAGTGTTGCAAATGAGGACTAATGCACAACAGAGCATGGATGGCCCCAACCCAAGGATATTAAGATGGTTCTTTGGCCAGGATAGAGGGGGCTAAGCATACTGCCTAGGTATTTGCCTTGGGTCAGTCTTACTCGTTGTTCAGTTTGTGCTCAGATTTAGCTCTAAGTTGCCTAAATTAAAAGACAAAACCCAGGATTACTATGATGGTTTTTCATTTTTAATATGACTATCTTTGTTGCTATTCTTTTCTGAAAGTGAACAAAACAGCTGTGGTTAAGATTGGGTTGCTAGCTCACTTATTTGGGATTGTTCTTTTCATTGCAAGCTCACAAAAAGAGGTATGGTTGGAAACTGTTTTGAGCTGTCAGCGCAGATTGAATATGGTCTGTGTAGCTCAGTGCCGTATGCAGTGTTTACTGCAGACAACAGAGAAGGTAGTGTTGTTGATTCTTGCTGCACCGTTTTCTCTGAAGCCTCAAAAGAATACTGAAAAGATTTTGATATTGTTTCTGTTTTTGTGTAAGTCATTTAATGTTTTCCAGGGTATTGTTCCCAGCAAGCCAGGTGTCACTAGAACCCCAGACCAGAGTTCAGTCCTGCTTTCACCATCATCTTGTGGTGCAGTAGGATCCTGGCAGAAAAGTCTCATTCATCCATCCTTATCCCATCCTCCTTTGCCACCATTTCCCCTGAACAGTAACCCAACAAAGTCTTGTTCTGTGCTGGTCCCGGCTGCAGGCTTTCCAGTCAGCGCTGATAATTAGACTTTGAGATAAGCCATCTGCTTGCTGGCCCCTAGTGGTCCGGGGGCTGAAACAGAGCTGCGGAGGCCAGGCACAGGTCTGCAGCAGGAGAAGCCTGTCAGTGACACAGCATCTGCTCGCTAAGATACCGAGTGCTCTTGCAATTGAGCACCTACGTGCTGAGGGTTTTAAAAAGTCGTTGGCCAGGAGAAGAAAACAACGCTTCCGTGAACAGCGTTTGCTCTTTCTCAGAACCATTGGAGAGTAAAGGGAAGGGAACAGTCTGCACAAATGAAGGAAAGTCAGGGTAGAAGGAGAGAGCTGAATTCAGTAGTGAATTCATGATTTCATTACACTTTCAAGCATCCGGGCAAGAAGGTATGTCTTGCCCAAGTTAATTGTGGCTGATTACAAATTGAGGGGGACAGGGAAAAACGTGCCTCTTAGATTTATTTGTTCCATGACTTTTGGCAGTCTCGTCCGCATCATGCAGATCAGCAACGCTTGGAGCTGTGTTTGCAGTGGGATACTTCAAATTAAGATGTCAGAGCTTTAAAAGTACTGTGCATCTTTCATATGCATCACTGTGTTTCTTTTCTTTCCAAAAGCAAAAGTTTAGCTCAAATCAGTCTCTCTCCTCCTGGCTGGTTTAGCAGCAAGATAGCTGCAATTTTTGGTTTATTAGGCAAGAACCTTTTTGCTTACAAGGATAACCCCGTGAATTCCAGCTCCTTGGACTGGGTTAGCCATTTCACCCTCCATTACTGAAGGGTGTAATAACCTCGTCCTGGAGTTAGGAAGAAACTGAAGTCTTTCTATGAACTTAATGAACAGAAGCTAAAGTACTGATTTTTAAAGGTTAATTCCATTTACTTTCCTAGGATGCCCTTTATGTGCTAGTGATGAAGTGAAATCAGCAACAATTGCAAAGAGAGGACTGGATGCCCATCTTCCCCATCAAAAAAGGAAACCTGAGTGTTAGTATTATTTTAATTACTTGGGAGGTACTTCAGATTTTGCAGTGATGAGAACTGTAAAAACATCTATATTCAAAACCAGATGCAGCAGTGACTGCTGTGTGCAGTATGGGGGCAGGTGGAGTGAGCAAGTGCCAATCCATCGATTTAATTACCACTGGGGTCTGATATTCCAAGCAGCAGCTTGCCTTTTCTACCTTGTCTGCCAGAAGAGATGAGACTGGTAGGAAGTGAGGAGAGGGATTTGGGAATAAGCAAAGGATAACGGGGCAAAGAAAAAAAAAATCAAGGGCTGTTGGTGGAAACCACATCAGATTAGTAAACTTTAATTACATTTAATTTTAATCCTTAACATTTATCTAAAAGGTGATTGAGGGAAGGTTTATTAGGATTCTGCGTCCCTATAGCCCTTCTTTGAAAGAACACCGAACGTGATGATTGCTTGCGTGTCTAATTAGAAGTTTTTCCCCTCTTGATCACCTAAAGTCAAATTCATTTACTCTGCTTGAAACAAGGATTTAATTTGATTTTTTTTTTTTTTGGCATCAAAAGATGTCTCAAACTTGATACAGAACCACAGCCTTCTAATCAAGACAGAACCCATTACCAGCCGTGTTTTATGAATATTCACATCAGAGGGCAGCACCAACCTCATTAGGAAGGGTGTTGCAATCATTATTAAACTGTTGGAGTCCATTATGATTCAGAGGGCTGTAATGATGACTGATACCCACTGAGGACAGCTGAGACGAATACTGGAGCATAATGACCTCACTTTTTTTCATAAGCCTACAGGGCTTTTAAAGGCTTTCAGCTTATGTAGTTTGTATTCTTTTCATCAGCTGTGTGAAAGTGGTCTTAATATCCCTGAATCTCTTGCATGAGTGGTGTGAAGAGAAATAGAAGAGCAATTAGGGAACCTGTAGGTTATGTTTGGGTGATGTAGTAAGTCAGTAATACTACTAATTCTTTCACCTCTTAGGTCTTCATTAATGAGTTATTTCTTGTCAGTTACACTGAAAGCTCAAAGTCTGTAAGCTCTATCAAGCCCCTTCTGTTCCTTCCTTGCAGAGTGAAAAAGATGGTACTACCGTTGGACCTGAATTTGATCATTCTAGCAGCAGAACTGCTGTAGTTAATAGACCATCCACAGTGTCAGCATAAGCCTGTTCTCCGTTCCCCTTTTCCTTTCCTGCTCTGAGGCTAAAATCTGCTTTATATTAAATATTACAACAAATGATTTTATAGCTGCTATCTTGCTTTCTTGAGATCCTCGCTTTATCCAGCAAACTGAAAGGAGGTGAGCCTGGACTCCCCAACCCACAGTCCCAATCATGGCTTGGTTTCACTTACATAAATTAATCTTGTCCAAATTAGCATAGTGTTGGTGGATTCTATTTATTTATTTATTTATTTGGCATTCACAAGGATCTGGAGAATGAGTGTAGCTGTTAGTATACTTTCTGGGCTCAGAGAGGTTTCCAGTCACAACCTGCATGTAATGGTGAAGTAATTATGCATAACCAAAGACATTCACATGACTTGCTGTGTCCAGTAGCTCAGACGTCTCCTGCTTGTTTGTGTCCTCAAGACAATTTGTTACCTTCTTTTAACGTTCTTTCTCTGCTGCTCTTGCATCTTGGAAATCATCTTTAAACCCAGAAATAAGTTCTCTTATCCTTTGGAATCCTTTGGGGTCTCTCTTTGTTCAGCCATGAAGGGTGCTGAAAAGGTTGTAGAGGCTGCATGTGCTGCCTCTAGTTCTCCTGCAGCTTGGACCTGGAACCTGGTTGTCTCCTGTGGCAGTGCAGTCTCACTGCATCTGTTTTAATGTGTTTGTAATTGACATTTCTTGCCACAGTGTTATTTTTATGAACTTGCAAGAGACTCCTGCAACCAGTGAGGCTGATCATAAATTATTCTGTGATAATGCTGCTTTAAAAGGAGGTATTATGGGAAACCCACCGAAGAGCTGCTCTCTCTTTGGTGACCTTCCAAATTGGCTTCCCCACTAACTTTAGTGAGATTTGTCTAACTTGAGAGCTCTTACTTCTCAAGCTATCAGTGTGAGTGAATGTGTCCTAGTTGCACACACAATTGTTATGGATGATCACAACAGTAACATTGGTCTTCATAAGATAGAAGAGAAGAATGTTTCAACCAAATTTGATGTTAATTAAATGTAGTGAGGAGAGTGGAGGTACAAAGGGATCTTGTAAAAAAGCAGAGCTGAGTTCACCTTTGATTAATGGTATTGCCAGCTGGATTATTTAGGAGAAAAGCTCAAATACCACCTAGAGAAACTGGTAGAGAAGAATGGCATTTCAGT